TTTCAGAATGCCCCAGAAGGTGTGTGAGCAATCTGGGCTGGGAAAAACGTGCCCAAACCACTCTGAGCCTGTGGTTTGCAAGGTGGGCTGTGCGTACACAAGGAAAGCGTTTTTGTGCTCCTGGTTAGTCAAAGAAAAATGGAAGTGCAAACCTTCACTTCTGAGAAATGCTGTGGAAATGAAAACCCCGCCCAGGCTGGTGTTAAATGAGGCTGTTAATGAGCTGTTTGCTGTGTTACCTCAGCCCCCTTGTCTGCTGGAGAGTGAAACAAAGACTGAACCCAACACCGACATTTTATCAGTGCTAGGCAGCCATCCTTTAATAACAGTGCTAGGGTGCACTGGGGGTAAATGCGTCTATAATAAGTGCTCCGACAATATTACAAATGCAAATCCCTTTTATGTTCTAAAGTCACTACACTTGTTAAACCCTACCTGGCTCATGCTCACACTCTGCAAGTCTGCTGTAATTATTTCACAGGCTTTGCTGCCATCCAGCATCCTTTTGTGACAATTGCAGCCTCTGAAACACTTCAGCTTTTGGGTTTTAGTCCATAAATTAATCCTTTAGTGTGCTCTGTCCTTTTGCTTTGCAGCCTTGAATGCTGATCGACTGCTTGTCAGTTTGAAGGTATTTTCTGTCTGTTTGCAAAATTTATGTTCCTTTCCCAGTCCCCTTCCTCTAAAAGTTATAAAATTGTCAGCAAGTTGAGCAAAAATGTAAGGTTATACTCATTGTTTGCCACATACATAACTGTAGCATTAAAAAATTCTACATTAATTCTTTATTAATTATTTCTATTTAAGTGTTAGTAGAAAAATTAAAAAAAAAACCTTACTCATAATGTAGATAATTTAACAAACAATGTTTAGCAGCCCCTGTTCATTTGTCCCATTTCCAAACCTTGAAACTGGTTCTTCTTTGTTCTTGGATGGCAAATTTCTGCTTAGTTTCTCCTTTTAAAGCAATACAAAACCATACATCCTTTCCGTCTACAAACTAGGTGTCTTATCTTAAAGGTTATAGGATTCTCAGGCAAGTTTCTCAAGCAAGCAAAAGTATGAACAACATTATGCTCAGGCAAGTTTTTTTTCAGGCAAGCAAAAATTTTAGAGCATTAATCCCAGGCAGGCCTCTCAGGTAAACCAAGGACAAATATTCAATGTTATTAACAACTTCTTCAAGAGTGGCTTTGCTTTTCCACTGCAGTGTAAAATATTCCTGCCTAGAAGGACTGTTTCAAAGCACTGAGACTGTTCCTGACAGATGTGAACAGACCTTTTGGTGTCTCCTTGCAGCGAGCATTTGGTGACTGGCAAGTGTTTTGAACTTCATGTTTTTTAGGAATAACACAGAGTATCTCTGGAAAAGAATCCCTCCTGCCATCAGATCTGTAAGTCCTGGATTTCCAGCTGTGGCCACTGTAGAGAAGACATTCTTCTGGATGAACACTTGGAAGGGTTTTTTGCAGAAGAGGCAAATGCTGAACTTGGTGCAGTTTGGTCAGTGGGGCAGAGGATCTGGCAGAGAGACTTGGAAGCACTCCGAGGTCCAA